ACAGGTGAGCTGTGATAGCACACATTGAGAATAAAGGCTGTACCAGAACTTCAAGATCATTTGTATATCACATTACACATTGTCCTGGAGGCATTTAATAGTTTTTATGGGAAACAACCTCTGTCCATGCTCCCATACCTTGCTAGGAATTATGGGGGTGTTGGAGAAGGGGAAATCTTACTGCTGCTATTAGCACACACACACTCACATACCTTAAAAATCAAAGTACTAAAAGTAATGTGTAAGAATTAATTTGAAGTGAAATTGACTTCTTTAATTACATTTGGTGTTATATACTGTGATACATTACTAAATAAAAAGAAATACCATCACAAATGACAAAAATCCATGCTTAATTTAAGCAGACCAATTACTTTAAGTGCTGCTACAGTCAGAAAAGTGATTCAAGGATAAGTATGGGAACACACAATGCCATTTCTTCAATAGCTTCCAGATCAAATTCAATGTAAAAGTCAAAAGGTCAAATTTTTTTTCTCTACCCCATGGTATCACAAATTCCCTGTTGGACCTGGAGAACTTGGCTGAATTATTTCTTTCCTGGCATCCTCTGCAGCTGCAATGATGATCATACATCAAAAGATGCAAACTTTTTACAGGAAAGTCTTCATTTTTTCTGGGGAGATTTTATATTAGTCTGGAAACTAGACATCCAGTATGCAGTTATACCTGAATAACTAGGCAATGCAGAAATTATGTAGAATAAATAGCCAATTCTGTTCCTTGTTGGGTGAAAAGGTGCTTAGCCCCAGTCTATCACTCCCCTTTATCACCTCATACAGCAGCATCAATGCAGAGATGTCCGAGGATTCCCTCCCTAAATGATTGCTGTTGCAGACTGATGAACATAAAGAAGTCACATTTCTCTGCAGCTGGCTGCTTAAAATCTATATATCTTACTATTAAAACAGCAATCTCAATTCAAGCTTCTCCACAACAGCTCCAGCTGGGATGCACCAACCAATTAAAAACAAAACAAAACAAACAAAATATCAAACAAACCATGTATTTTTAATAACACATGCAATCTCTACCAACACAGCTCATGCAGGAACAGTCAGACTCTTCCTGGTGGTGTCAGATTTGCTGAACAGGCATCTAACAATACATGTGCAGTTGGCTCAACACCTCAGGTGTCAGATTGCCTGTATTTACATTAAGCAAGGTATGCTCACTGGAAATAGGTGATGCAGAAGTGGAAATATGTGATGCAGAAGTGGAAATATGTGATGCAGAAGTGGAAATACGTGATGTAGAAGTGGTTGTCACGAAATCATGACACAGAAAGCAGAAGATAACTTACGTTATGAACAGACAAGGATAAAAATAACTTAAAACAGGTAAGGTAAAAGTAGCTCATATGCAAATGCTCTGCATTGCTTCTTTTTTGTTGTAACAGTCAATATTTCACATCACAAGTGATTTGCAGTGCTCCATGTGGACTGTGAAAATGAATGCATTTCGAAATTTTCATTACAGTACTCCTCTGCAAATTAAATAAATGCAAGGGTAGCAGCCTGCACAGAGGGATCTTGACAAAAGACAGACCATTCCAGGACCGATATCTTGTTGTAAAATTATTAACAGCACAATTCCTGTAACTTACAATCATGGCTGAGGCCCTTGACAGGCAGGACTCAGAAATGAAGCTGCCACATAATTGCTGTGGAAAACACAACTTCCCACAAAACCAATCATATCAAAAATTAAGTTCCTTCCACGTAGCAACACTGAACAAGTAGTATTCAAAATTAATGCAGCATCAATGAAAAAGAATGGACCTCTAATCTTGACAAAAATAATAAAAAATTTAGAAATCAGTAAATTGTGGCCTTAGGGTTTTCCTCCTGTAGGAACCAAGATTCATATATAGGTTTGGAAGGTCAAATGTTCTCCAAAAGTTTCTTCTATAAAACTTATATACAACACTTTTCTTCAGCAGACAACATTCACTTATTGACACCAAAATTTAAGAATAAAATATCCCAGCTACTTTTCACATCTGATACCATTTTTGTTGATAAAATGGACTCATGAAACACCCCTAATTTTATCTTAAATTTTGTAATATGGGTATACAGACATGTATGAAGGAAAGCAGAGACCTAATCTAACTACAGAGATAAAAAATGTTTTTCAGTAGTAAGGTTAATCTAGTAAAAACATAGCTATTACTCACATTTCTCTTCAGAAATATGACTTAATATTCCTCATTGTTTTCATTTTCACATACAGGGGAACTGAATGGATAATTATCAACCAACCTTTCCCCTGTTGGTACAGCTCAGTAGGAATCTCTCGATTTCTTGTTGTAGACTTTAAGGCATTTTACTGTAAAGGACCATATCCTTCCACTGAAGTTGTGCATACATTTTTATCTGTCGTTTCAGTGTAAAACAAGGCATATTTTAGTGTACCCACAAGAATATTAGGGGCTTGTTAGGCTGTTCAGAAATTACTCTGTGTTTCTAACAGCCAAGTCCATTACTTTTCCACAGAAATTCATAATTCAAAATGTATGTCAGAGAAGGGGCAAGGAAAAACTTAAATAATTTTCAGCATTGACATAACCATGGGACTTCTTTAAATTATGCAATACTATTTCGTCTTCAGAAAATCTGATAAAGAGGACACAAAGGGCTTTTAGAGATCAGCAAATGAACAAATTAAAACACTACTCAAAAGAACAGTACAACTTTCAGAGACCAGGTAGAGAAATACCCCTTACTATAGCAAACCACAAAAGCCCAGTGCTGGAAACTCTGTAGTGACAGATACATCACCTCCCTCTCCATGGCCAGCAGGGAACTCCTGCCCATTGGGCAGGGAGGTGCTGCTGGAGAAGCAGGAGCAGGGCTCTGTGGAAGCTCAGTGCTGAGGAAAGGGCCATGCCCTGGGAGCCAGGCATCTGTTTTGGAGCTCAGTGTGCAATATTCTGGGAAGTGAATTATTTATCCTCTATTCACCAATCCATGCCCAGATCTGGCAAGGTTCAATTGGCTCCTGTATAGAAACCTCTCCCACCAAACTCTTATGAAAAAAATTATTCTAGTTGAATTAGCACAAGATGGATGTCGCATCCATGAGGAGAAGGAGAGGAAAGAGCCCATGGGCAGCTGCAATGCAGACCACACCCCCCATTGGAAGGAGAAGAATGCCTGTGGCAATCTGCCATAACCTTAATGTCTTACTGATACAGCCTGTGCCAAATGGAAAAGATAAATTTGATCATAACTGAATTTAGAGGTACATCAATTAAGGGTATCAGGATTTGCTACTGAGATGTTAAGCCTTTGCAAAAAAAAATAAATAAAAAAGGAAAAGAAACGCACACGTCACTAGAATAAGGGATACCATCGCTCAGTAAGCAGGTTGGCTAGTAGGGAAAAGAAACAATAACAGTTTTCACATCGAGCGTCTGGGGTGCTTCTAAGACATCCTAATAAGATTATTTTTTTCCCCTTCATTCTTGAAAGCACTGTTAGAGTAATGTTGACGCTTTAATCCCAAACCCCTGCTAAAGAGCAGCCCTATCACTACCACAAGGCCACCAAAAGAACACCTACCATGTATCTTGTGACTTCTGCTTTCAAAGCATTTACTGTTCAAGCATTACAGAGGACAGTAATTACAGGACAGTTTATTTGCTGGGTTACTAGATTTTTGAGTCTACAGCTTAGCTCTACAAGCATCATGAAAGTCTTCTCATGCTTAAAACAATTCTGTGTTGCTAAAAGGATGTTATAGTCTCAGTCAATTTCCTACCTAAAACCATCCTCATCATCTTCAGTGTTCCTGTTCGAGAAACAGCGAATAAATGTCTAGCAACTGTGAAGAGAAATCTGCATCCAAGACTTTCAAAACTCTTTCAAACTCAGGATTGTTGTTTTTCCCTTTGTTCGCTTGTTGGGTTTTGGGGATTTTAAACCAGGACTAACCAAACTTCAAAATCAAAGATGCTATTTGTCTCTGACTTGCCACTGAAAATCTGATAGTACATAGGGAGAATGCAAATAAAGATTTATTTTGCAATGGTGGAAGATGTATAAAATCTAAACTGTATGCGTAAACATACATAAGATTATTTTTCCTACTGTGATTTAACCTTCAGTTTCCTTTTTTTATATTCTGTTCATGGTAAACCAGCACGTCAAAAGATTATGCATTACATTTTAAAGCAAACGTGTTAGCAGGGTTGTAAAACATACCACAGAAAATTTATTTTCCCCATTACAGATCCTATATCCTAAGTCAGGAGTGCTGAATATACCACAAGTTAAACATATGGAACAGTGTTCATATCAGTTGAGCAGGGGAGGTGGGGATAAAAAAACTATACACAGTTCCCTCTGAGAGCCTGGCACAATGAGATATTTGGGGTTTTATTATTCTTTACACCTATCATTAGGTATCTGGGCAGAGACTCCTTTTCCTCAAGTTTCAGCTCAAACTCAGAATTTTGCTGAAGGAAATGCATAAGATTTATGAAAATGCTAACTACTTTTCAGGTTAATGCCAAGAATATCACAGTCAAATTTAGTCCAGATACAGAACAGTTTGAAGAAGTGTGTAAAAAGCAATAGTTATTGTGAAAATTAATTTTTAATGAGAACGGTACTCAGCTTTGATAGAAAGCGTTTTCTGGAACAGGTAGAGACCATGCTGAACTTCCTTGCACACCTGTGACCCCTGCTGATCAGTGTCAACACTTGATTAATATTTTACTGACGAAGTGTGAGATGATTCAAACTTTGTCTGTCTGGGTAGATGTTGCTAAGCAACTTTGCTCCTTGTGTGAGAACTAGTCTTCACAGCATCCTTTCCTTCAAGACAAAGACCTGCACCCGCTTGAAACACTTTCTTCCTTTTTCAGTGAAAAACCCAGCATGTCGTATTCCACCCTTCCCTTTACATTTCCCTCCCCACCTGCCAGTTAAGAAGAAATGAAGGTAGCGGTGTCTGAAACGCCGTCCTTCCCTTACCATAATCGCTGTCGTAGAAGACGATGAACTTCTGCCAGCGCAGCTCGGTGACCAGCTTGAGCATGACATCGTTGAGGCGCACGGGCGGGCGCGCGGCCAGGGTGTACTCCTCGTCCTCCAGGCTGGGGTTGAGCTGGCAGGCCGTGCGCGGGGAGCCGCCCGTGCTGCGCTGCACGAACAGGTGCGGGATGTGCATGGCGTCCGTCAGCGACTGCAGCGCGTTGGCCGACGCGCAGCCCGTCGACGTCACCAGGGCTAAGATCCCCAGGGTCATCAGGTCGCAGGCTGGAGAAGACAAGACGTAAAGCAGGGTTTGAACGAGCTCAGCAATTCCTTTGGCCAACCTAGATGCTAAGAGAGGAATGTTTTGCCCTTGCCGTCAACACAGGGCTGAAATTATTTATATTACACTATCAGCTGAAGCCTTTCAGAGTTAGGTCCTGTGCCTTTACAGTAGGAGACGGTATCTGCAATCTGTGCCAATATGCCAAAGTTGAGGACAGATAACGTAACCACTGTCAGTCCTTGAGACAGCAGCTGATGTGGATGGAGATTATGGCCCTTGCTTCAGGCCATCCTGGTGTATGCAGGAACTGAATTTCCTTTTTTTTTTTTTTAAAACTCACTTCATTGCTTTAACCCCTTAATCCTTGCTGGGTACATTGGATGAAGATTTCAGACAATAAAGAGCAATTTCCATTCCAAGGAATCTATTCTCATACAGCAGAGTTTTGAAGGATTTTTAAAACCGATAAAAAACATTCACTGTGTATCTCAGAGCAATGAAGAAACAAAGGCATTCTTTAGAACCAAGACAACTCATGAATGACTAAACAATTATTAGCAACACAGTAGCTGTCCTTAAAAAGATCTGGAAAAGCACGTATCATTTAAAAACACAGCATATACATTTGACCCCATCTGTTTTTGAGAACAAAGCATTATTCTCATGCTGAGTTTGAAACACAGACCGTGGAGAGGCCTGGGCAGTCTGCTCTGCTGCTCAGGGTACCCCACATGGCGTGTTCATCTCAGGACTTCTCCAGCTAACGCAACCTGATACCCAGCTGCAGTTAGAGAGTATTTCCAGCCAGGGCATTTTCAGTCAGTAGTGGTGAGAAGACTATGTAAGACCGTAAGGCAGCCAGTGATGCCGCTTTTTACTCACTCCAGTAGTAAGTGGCAGCAAAGTTAGCCCTGGGAGCTCAGCACAGGAGACCCTCATAGGTTAGGCTGGCACCAACCCTGTGGGTCCTCCAGAGGCACTAGGAAGCACCTGCTTCACCTCTGAAGAGGGCTGGGGGCAAGCTCAGGGGCTCAGCAGCTGTTTCAGACCCCAGCAAGCACCTGCCCGCAGGAAAGCCTTGCTCTGCTCCCCCAGCACAGCCAAGCCAGACAGGAGAGGACTGGAGATGCTCCACAGCCCTGTGCAGTCTGCACGAGCTCATTAACGGTGCACAAACAAAGAGTCTCTGGGGTGCAATTCAGAGCCCCATGGGACACACAGAGAGCTGAGCAGGAAATTCAGCTTCTAGCTGAAGAGGGGAGGCTGCCCATGCTGGTGCTTCCCCCCACAAGGAGAGCACACAGGCTGTGGGACTGGCAGCACCGCGTCAGGGCTGGTGGCAGCAGGTGACCTGCAGCCACACTGCCACTGACCTGCTGCCTCATCTCCACTGGAGAGGCAGAATCCTCCAAACACTTTTAAGTATATCTCCACTTTCAGAGGCCAGAAAGTCAAAGGAAGTAGGTTATGAATAATTAATAGTAATTAACAGTTAAGTATCAATTAATATTCATTACATAAAGCCTCCATAATTAAATGCATAGCTGTTTCTCACACAACCAACAAACTGCTCCACCAAAAATCTTCTTAGACCAGACAGAAAATAGATATATTTCACTTTGATGGGGGATAACAGAAAGAAAATGTTTGATCCTCTCTGTGCACAGAATGTTCAACATGTATCCTGATGCAACAAAGATGAAGAGCTTTTAAAATTATTTCCTTGATGGTCTTTACAATAAACATATGTCAGCTGCATTATCTAAATTTACTCTGTGTTGATTATAGTTATATGAAATTGTTCTTTGCTTTTCCTGAGAGCTGACCTGATTTAACAGCAGGGAAGCATTATATTTGCCAAATGGGAGACCCAGGTTCGGGAACAGATTTGATTTCCCAGGCTTCTTGCCAGAGAAAACCGAACATGTCATACAGGTAATTTATTTAGTCACAGTAGGGGAGGGAACAGAGAAGTGAGAACAGAGGGAGAGAACAGCAAAGCTGAGCCATAAACCCCTGCAGAGATCACCAGCCAGCAAGCTTTGCTGTCACCAAGGGTGAGAGCAGCAAGCCACACGGGGCTGTAGCAGGAACAATTTACTTGCAAACCAGACAGAAGGAGACAAAAAACAAAGCCCTTTCTGATGAGAGGCTGCATTCAGAGAGTCACTTATTTGTGCAATTTAGAGCTGATCACCAGTTGTATAACAAGAAAAACCTTCATTCAGTGGCTGACACTAATCAAAAGCCACTGCTTATTAGCAGCAGAAAGACCAGAGAGGCAACAGATCATGGCAAATGGGCCCCCTTATCTGCCAGCACAGCCCACCAAACACAGCTGAAATATCTCAGCAAAGACCATTTCAGGTGAGGCATTTTCCCAGTGTTTTGAAGTTTGTGTCCATGGGTCAGATTGAAGAATGAGTCAATAGGCTTCCACATTCTGACATATTTGTCAATTGATCATGTTCTGCTGAAAGCATATGCTGCTTAGTAAGTGTGTGCTCCTCCTGCCTCTCTGTTTTGAGGTAGCAGGCAATAATAACTGGAATGACTACAGGGAAAAAGAAAAAAAGGTTCCATGTTTTCTGAATTTCTTTCTTTAGTCAAATTACAGAATGTGAAACAGAACATGTCATTTCTAATAGAAGACTTTCATTATACAAAAATACAATGGATTCCAAGTAGTTCAACCTCTCCACAGTTATTGCACTGAATGGTGAGAATAAGCTTTGAGCACATAAAGAAGGAAAGTATTACTTTTTACATGAGTAACACAATGGGGAAAAACAACATAAGAGACTCCATTAAAAAACTTATTAGGTCTTAGGGCATCTCAAAATTCCTTATCAAGAAATATTCAAGGACTATACAAACTTGGGAGAAAACTCTGGTGGACCACTTTTTTTTTTTTTTTTTAGGATTCCCCCCACATTCCTACAGTTTCTTGCACAGAAGACTAACATTCAAAAAGAGATGCAATTTTCTGTTTAACTTCACAATAGGTATGGATTTGAAGCAACAGCCAAATATCCTTGACTATATGACTGAATAAATGGCTAATTCTGACTATGAAAGTTGCACTTTCATAAGCATTCAAAAGAACCTGTGATTTTTGCATTACAATTTCTTAATCCTGACCTTGATTTTCTTACGAGCTGAATAAATTTGATTTGTAATGCTTTGGTCCACATCAAACTACATAAAGGAAGGGGGAATCAAAACACCTTGAGAACTTCAGTGATTTTCAACTACTATATTTGAAAACTATTATCTAACTATATAACTATGATTATGGTAGTATACATTTAATATTCTTATAACTAAAATATTTCTATGTTTATTTATGTTGCAGGTATCTTTAATCAGATAGGTTTTAAGAAATAAGACTTTTAAAGTGTTTGTTCCAAAGATGAGAAGACAGAAAAGTTCTGGTAATCCTGCCCCCAGATCTGACTGCTATTATTTAAGATACTAATTTACTGCACTGAGAATTACTTTATCTCTATGAAACTTCATTTTAAGAAGATACCAAAAACATACAAACCATACAGTAAGAAACGTGCAGTCTAACATGATGAAAACATGATCATACCTAAAGAATAAAACTTCAATTAATTTATTTGAGCCAATTAAATCATGTCATGGTGCTTGTTCAGAGTTGGCCTCCAGCAACAGACCATCTCTCAAGCTTATTCTTGGATTTCATTGAAGTTTCCCAAATTATTGCTTAATCCTATTTGTAATTGTCTTGGTGAAGTACCTCTCCTAACCTATTCTTTTGAAGTGTGTTTTCAGAGAGTCCCTTTACACTTCTGCTTAATATTTTACATCTTGAATTGTAATATCCATCACAGTGTTTTACAAGACACTGTTTTCTCCTCCATCTATGGCCTCTAATTTTACTCTCACATCATAAAAATATATATGAAACTCATGTTTTGTATATATCATGTGACCCACGTCTCTAACTCCAAATACATTCCATTGAGACCACACTTAAGCCTGAAACAGAAGCTATTAATTTTAACTTTGCCTTATCCACACGACCATTCTCATCACTGGGACTCCTCATGGCACATGAGACAATGCAAGACTTCTACTTTGCTGCAATCATCCTTCAGGTTTTGCATTTCTACCACTGCTTCCTGTACTTCCTAATTCTGAAGACAGGTACAGATGGCAAAGTCCTGATTTGGCACCATCTTCATGGGGATATTTGCATTAAGAGCTTTATCTCAGATCTCTGTAATTAAATCCCTCTCTCCCCAGACCACTGGGGATTAAAATACTCCAAGAGGAACTGTTATCTTGCTCCTGGAAATGTGACAACATGACCATGTCTCAGTCTCCATTTCAGTGGTTTCCTATTATCAGAAAATGGTAGAAACTTGTTCCTTTGTCTCCTCCCTTATCCATAGAGCAGCTGCCAGTGTAATTTCAGCTCTAACAATATATCCACCTACTGGCATTCACACTGCCTCTTCAAACTTCGATGTCTTTCTGTCTCTCACCTCTGGGCACCACCATCCTACTCACTCTGGACACCCTCTCATATTTAATAAATCTTCTTCAAGGTTTTAGCTGATTTTTTTTTCCTTCTTTCAGTTCAACTAACCCTTAAGGAACTCTTCACTGCAAATGGAGAATCATCCTAATCACAAATAACTTGCATTTGGAAAAAATCACTGTCTGAAAATCGAGAGGCTGTTGCCTTTCTGCTTGGAAAGCTTTTCAAGGGAAGGAAGATAACTTCAGACATGCTGTATTACCCTGCAATGAAGTGATTAACTAAGTTGGCACTTAAGTGTCTGTGATTAGGTTTGAAAGCCACCTTCCTGCTGAGACGAGGGACTTCATGCTTGCTTCAGTACTACTGCCTCAGTCAATCTGAGAGAAAACAAATTTTTCACATTATTTACCTTTGAAAACCAGTAGGAAAAAAAAAATTGTCATTAAAACAAAGTCTGGAGAATACAGTAGATTCTGGGGAAAAAGC